TCGGCAAAACTCAAACCCCTCGCTGTGAAAAACAAGACGATTACTTTTGGTGGCTTTCAAGCAGATCACAGAATACCTCTCACAAAACTGTCTGCTTGACCCTTACCAATCTGGGTTTAAAAAGAGCCACTCCACTGAAACTGCTCTGTTAGCAGTGACAGAATCCTTAAAAGAAGCCAGTAAGACTGCGAAATTCTCAGTGCTTATCCTGCTCGACTTATCGGCTGCATTTGACATTGTCAACCATGGCTTCCTTTTGTCCACACTCTCTAGCATGGGCATCACAGAGAAAGCACACGCCTGGTTTGAATCGTACATCACAGGACGATCATTCAGTGTATCTTGGCTTGGACAATCCTCTACCGTGCACAGTCTTGCCATAGGAGTCCCCCAGGGCTCTGTACTAGGACCTCTTTGCCATATGCACCACCCCACTGGGTGAGATCATTTGATCACATGGCTTCTCCTACCACTGCTATGCAGACGACACCCAGCTCTATCTGTCATTTCCACCAGACGACCACACTGTCTCTGCACGAATATCAAACTGTCTCTCTGACATATCAAAATGGATGAAATCCCACCATCTCCAACTCAACCTCTCTAAAACTGAACTACTTGTCACCCCAGCAAAACCATCCATACAGCACAATATCTCAATCCAAAATGACTTCCTATCTCTGGCTCCTTCAAAGGCAGTTTGAAATCTGGGTGTTGTGATTGATGAACAACTGACCTTTAAAGATCATGTTGCCTCTGTTGCTCGTTCATGCAGCTTTGCGCTGTATAACATACTATTACGTCCCCGGCTCTCTAGGAGAGATGAGGAGGGGAGTAATAAAAGTAGAGTGTGTATTTAATAATAAACAGAGTGCTGTGTCGCTTAAAAACAAGAATTTTATTACAAAACGAATGGAGTATTTTACAAAGAACCTAAAAAGCAATACTATAGAGCTCCGGGAGTTGACATCACTTCTCCCGGTATGCAACAGTTCAAATCGAAACGGCGCCATCTTGGCAGGTAGAAGCCGGCAGCTGGACTATTTGTTATTGTCAGAAAACTCAATCAAACGGGAAATATGGTAGATTCCTGTTGTGCGCCAGGATGCAGAACAGACACGGACGACATAAGGAATGAGCCATCTACAGGATTCCCCAAGATCCGGAGCGCCGCAAACGTTGGATCATTGTAATAAAACGTGCTAGTGACCGGGTTAAAATGAAACTGTGGGATCCCGAGAGTAAAGGTTTTCGCTTATGCAGCGACCACTTCATATCAGGTACTTAAACCAACGTTTCCTCAACTGTGTATGGTATTTATTTTAAATGCTTTTATTACGATTCTTAGTGGGCTTCCTAAACTTATTTTGGCGTGGCTTTTTCTGTCTTATTACTCACAGCAGCAAGTAAACATCACGTAAAACGTTGTCTCGTGATTTCTGCGTGCTGCCGTGTATGTGTTTTATGACCACAGCAATTAACCGGCTAAGCAGTATTTAATTTTTAAGCAATGGTTGATCAATTGTCAGATCACACATAAAAAGCACTTTGTATTGCTATTATCTGTCTCACCGAGACAGATCTCAGACAGATCCTGAGACGCTCCTGCCTGACATATTTATTTTATTCACGGAAAACAATCAAACTAGTGATTTCTCTTGGCGTTCAGTTTATACATTCAAACAGCACAGCACTCTATTTAAACTACTTACGTGTAAATCTGTTATTTGTCCATCCATCCATCCATTTTCATCCGCTTATCTGGAGTCTGGTTGCGGGGGCATGCAGCGTTGAGAGGCCCAGACTTCCCTCTCCCCAGCCACCTGAGCCAGCTCCTCCGGGGGAATCCCAAGGGGTTTCCCAGCTAGGTCTGGTAAGAAGTCCGCTCCGACAGCTTCTGGCGTTTTTAAAAAGTATGCCAGGGGCACGGTAAAGGTCGGAGATGTTTAGTCTATTTAATTTCTGACTATATAAAACGATTTATTCGGTTTTAAAATGTGAAGTAAACTCCGATGAAGTAAAATCCAAGCCGATCCCGTTTACATTCATGTTTACATCCGTGTTTGTTTAGCTTCTTTTACCTGCCAATATGGCGTCTACTAACTTAGAGTCACGTGGGGTCCGGAGCTCTATATACAAAATAAAAGGAGCTATATTCAAAAAGGAGAAATGAAAAACGCCACCCCAGAAGGGGGTGGGAATTTAATAACCGAGAATATAAATCTATATTCAAAAGGGGATATCCGAGGTCTAAGTCCAAAGCCGGTCTGAAAGTCTATAAGCCAAATGGTCAAATCCTAAATTATCCAAATCCGAAATCCTAGTGAGAGCAAACCGAAGACTAGCGAATGAACCGAGTTGTACCAAAAGCGAACGAACCGAGGAGAAGAGAATAGTGTAAACTGTTACCAGTCTACACTACCCTTGGACCTTCTCAGTGACTGAGGGCAGGAGAGCAGCTTTTAACAGCTGCTCCCTCATTGTGAGCGATTGTAAACACCTGGAACACCGGGAGACAGGTGAGGCAAAGGCCACTGAGGCCATCTTGTGGCCGAAAAGAAACACGGTATGTAACACATACGAAAGATCAGACCATACCTAACACAACATGTCACCCAGCTCCTGGTGCAATCTACTGTCATCTCCCGCCTCGATTACTGCAATGCCTTTCTAACTGGTCTTCCAGGCTGTACTGTGAGACCTCTTCACATGGTCCAGAAAGCAGCGGCGTCTTCAATCAGCCAAAAAGAGCACACGTCACCCCTCTGTTCATTGAGCTCCACTGGCTACCGCTAGCAGCACGCATCAAATTCAAATAACACTAGCATACAAAGTCCGAGATGGTACGGCTCCCATCTACCTGAATCCTCTTGCAAAGGCTTACGTCTTGGCCCGGCCGCTCCAGTCATCACAGGATCGTCGGCTAGCAGTGCCTACACCACGCTCAGGACAATCCAGACTCTTCTCATGCATCGTTCCACAAATGTGGAATGACCTACCAAGCACTACCAGAACAGGGGCTTCCTTTTCAGTTTTCAAGAAACTCCTGAAGACCCTGCTCTTCAGAGAGCATCTTCTAAACTAGCACCCTCCCTGCACCCGTCCCCCCTCTCTACTGTTCACTCCTTGTTCCCTCCTCTCCATGACTGATGTCAAGTTGTTGTTGTTATTGTTGTTGTTAGCCTCAAGGGCAACATGCCGATTATCACTTGTAAGTCGCTTTGGACAAAAGTGTCTGCTAAATACATAAACATAAACTTTTAGCAGTCAGTCTGGATTCTTACTGTTCTTTTGGCAGACCGATGGGCTCTTCGGTGTCCAAACTGGCCAGGTGTGCGTGTGTAACAAAGAAACCAGAGAAGATGATGTCATCTTTTAATGCTTTTTGTAGCTCTTCTTTGTGTCTCAGCGGGTAGAGGAGGTTTGTTTTTGAGGTCACCTTTCTTGCACATAAAGGACACACACACACACACACACACACACACACACACACACACACACACACACACACACACACACACACACACACACACACAGTCGTTCTGGCTGAGATTAAGTCATAAATGTGCTTTTTCGCTTTAGGAACTCATGAAAGTTAACCTCAGGAAGGAAAAAGTCACGTTCATTCATTAAAGTTTGTCATGATGTCATCTGCATCTACACTGCAGCTTACACACACACACACACACACACACACACACACACACACACACACACACACACACACACAGTCAGCATGTGTCAGAATCTGTCCATTTGAGTCGGATTTTTAGAAAGTGTGTATTTTCTTAACACTGAAATATTCCCCCTCAACTTCATGGGAAATAACTGCTGTGTGTTTATGTGTGTGTGTGTGTGTGTGTGTGTGTGTGTGTGTGTGTGTGTGTGTGTGTGTGTGTGTGTGTGTGTGTGTGTGTGTGGTTTTGAGGATACAGTACTGGAACTGCCAAAAAACCTATATTTTCAGCTGAAAAGTGCTCTCTCACGCACAAACACACACACTTGACTTTATAGGTGAATGTGTAAAGGCTACTTTGGCCTGAAGGACCTAAAGATGCATTTTGAAACTAGAGGCTGTAGAATTGTACTGCGAAAATTTTCTTTATTATTCTTAGCTCTGTGATGATTGGTTAAGGTCAGAGTTTGACCTATGCTGCGACTGTTCTTCTGGAGGAACAAGAAGATGAGTTCTGAAGTCTTGGACAACCTCCCGATTGGTCCGTATTTAATATGTTAATGCGTCAAAGCAGCCACCGCTGCATTGGCCTGCACACATTCACACTGCAGTAACGGTTTGATTGTACCAACGTCACTCTGAGTAGTTCTGGAATTCCCACAGTTTGACTCCAGCACACATCATTTCTACAGTTTGTTCCCCCAGCCAGCCTTGACCTTTTCCCTGACCCCACCTTCACACACCTACACACAGCTCATTCAGTACCGGGGCAAATGGTTCAGGTGTCAAAGCCCATTTTCTAACAAAGGAAACAGAATCTTATGGAAGTTCAGACACACATCTGCTAACAGGATGCACACAGCGTTTGTCTTGAACGTACCACTGCGGTCATGTTGGTCAGAAACGGAAAACAGGACTTCTATTGCTGCACATAAAAGCTTGTTTACTCAAATCGTAAAATCATACTTACATCTACTGGGTGTATCATGCAAGGAGTTTGACTTCTTGGGAAAAACTCTCTTTGGTGGCGTTAACGTTCTCCTGTAATAAAGAGCAGCCCTTGCTCTGCACTCACAGCTGTGACCAGCAGCATCGCTCTGGAAACATTGTCATATAGAAAGCTTTCTGATTCCTATCAGTTTCTGGTCTACAGTGGAAATTACTTATTTCTTTGACTTGTGTCAATAAACTGTCTTCATTTTGCTCCTGATTCATCTGATAACTGCTATTCTCACCTTAACAACAGGCTTGGCAGAGCTGTTATGGTGTGGGTGATGAATAGAGAAGGTCCTCATATCTTTTTTGTTGTCTTTTTTCTGTCCAGGGTCGACATGTCAAGACGGGGCAACTGGCGGCCATTAAGGTCATGGATGTCACCGAGGTCAGTAACACATCTTAGTGTCTTTTCTCATCTTTTATCACAGTTTATCTAGATAACGGCAGGAAATAGGCTCTGTAGACTCGTGATATGATTCTCCATGTGGGATGATATTGAAGAATTTACGATTTTGTACATTTTTGGGTCACTAATGTGAAAAAGTGAGCTGAACAGAATGGAAATTTCTGAATACAAATTCAAAATGGGGGTCAGATTGGCCCAGACTGGTTCCTTATCTGATGTATATTTGCTGTAAATGGATTTTGGTGTGCTAGATTTAACAGTTCCACTAACTTTCTTCCACCCTCGTGCTTTTTTGTTCCCCTTTAAAAATCACCAGACTTCCAATCACATGACTTCCAGTTCTAGTAGGATTTACTTGGGCTGAAGGGAGCGTGTGTTTTAGAGGAAGGCTGTCTAGCCAGTAGTCTGTATCTGTGAGATATGCAGAAATATGCTTTTAATCTGGTCCAACTAGTGCTGCTTACTGGTGTTTTTTGCCTGAATTTTAACACATCAGCAGCTAACCAATGTGAAGTAAACTGTAATTTAATTAGCGTTTACTTTGCATTGGAACGGCTGTACTGTCAGACTCCTGGAGCCGTGACAGCACTCGTATTCATTCTAAAGTCTTATTATTTCACAGAAGGAAATCAGTCTCCAGAGCTACTGACAGGGATCAGAAGTGTGTCGTGACTTTGGTCTAAACAAGTATTTTATCAATTCATTGCACTCTGTAGTGGTCCACCCCCACCCCCGGGCTCGGCTTGACACATCCCAAAGGGAGCGAACAGTCCAGCACACATGGAAATGTCTGATACAAGAGCCGTGTTTTGTCTTCCGCTGACTGATCAAAAAGTTTGTGAATAGCAGAAATCATGTTCAGCTTTTCTCGACTGTGCTCGATAATGCTCTGAAGCATCTGAGTGTTTTAGTTGGTTAGAACGAATCCAGCTTGTCAGGTTTTGGAAGCCATGTGGCTTCTTCATGCTTCACTAACTAAATTAAAACTTTCTGAGTGTAAATTACAAAACCAAAATCACTTTTCCACTAAAATCAGTACACAAGTAGATACCAGCTTATTAACTTTTACCTTCTAGATGATTGATCAGTCGCATAAAGAAGGCATCACCAGGCAATGCTGCTATAAAAGCAGAGAAGAGCTGCTACGGAAGCCCAGATGTTCAAGCAGGAATCAGTGAAAATACAAATGATAAATGCTAGAGGACTCCACAGCATTCACACACTGGTGGTGATGAGCTACAGTGTAGCCACAGCTGCCCTGGGGAGCACTGACAGAGGTCAGGCTGCCGTTCACTGGTGTCTCGGACACTCCGACCACCACAAGGAGGGTGAAGTTGCCCAAGAACACACCGACTGATTTGGACAAAGTCTGGGTTCGAACCGTTAACCCACCAGTTACAAGGTGAAATCCTAACGCCTGAACCACCATCACTCCAAAATATGTTTCTTCAGGAGTGTGGATGTTGGGATATAGAATGAACTATCTCAGGATGATGCCACACACAGCAGCAATCTAAGGGTCTTACCACATGGGACAGCAGTAGCTCAGAAGGGTTGTCCAGTAATCGGATGGTTGCAGGTTTGATCCCGACACTGACCAGAGAACGATGCTTTTGTGTCTTTGGGGAAGACGCTTAACCCACCTTGCCTTCTGGTGGTGGTCAGAGGGACCGGTGGTGCCTGTGTTCAGCAGCCTCGCCTCTGTCAGTGCTCCCCAGGGCAGCTGTGGCTACACCGTAGCTCATCCCCACCAGCGTGTGAATGGCTGATGGTGTTGTGAAGCGCCTTGGGGGAGGGGGGGGGGGGGGGGGGGGGGGGTTGTAGAGCCCTAAGAAGGTGCTATACAGTACAGGCCATTTACATTTTCTGATGCCGCCTGTGTGTTTTGACCTCATTCTGTTATCTACACACTGACTTTTAAAACATCATTCTGGAGGCAAGACGAAACGTTTAAAGTTTATCGCGATGAAGATGACTTTATTATTCATTTTGTCTTGATTAGGTTGTTTTTGGAGCGAAAGTCATAATTAAAATAGAAAATTGGATTAAATGCCCCATTTTGAACCTCTCAATGAGACGAAGCATCTGATTAGCAGGGTGCAGTAGGCCTGTGCGGCCCCCCTGTTGGACCACAGCTACAGCACCGACTATTTCCTCTTTACAGTGGGTTTGTGTTGCTCTGGCTTAAATTACATTTTAATTCCTTGAGTCATTACTTTCAGGGAGCGGGTTTAATTATAATTGTTTAGAGATTAGCTGAGTTTCCTCATGAGTTATAGCAGAAGTCATCAGGGGCTCAGATTCCTGCTTAAGACCTTCTTCTTACCTTAAATCCACGTCTTCATTTTCACAACTGTCATTTACTCTGAAGTGGTGCTAATTTCTACAGTGCTCTCTGGGTAAGCACATCATTTATGAGGAGAAACCCCTTGGATGTTTTCGCAATCATCCAGCAATAATTGGTAGTAAGAGGAGACGACTGGAGGGTTGGCATGAGGTAAGAGAAACTTTAGACTGAAGAGAGTGTGAGAGCGTCGATAAGGAGAAGAAATCAGAAAGGTTCATCTGAAGTGCAGTGGGATGGTAGGAGGAGCGTCAGCTGCTCGTCTGTTTTTCTCTTTGTTTCTCACATTTATTTTCCATTTTCTCTTTAATATATTTTCATCCTCTTCTTTTTTGATGTTTTTCTTCCCTCTTTTCTTCCACTTCCTGTTCTGACCTAAATCCTGCCTTTTTTCCTTTCTGTTTCAACCCATCGCCAACTTTATTCAGCCATATTTTCTTCTTCAACATGAGAGAGAGCACAAAATAGACATATCACATCAGTAAAGAGAGAACCGTAGCGACAGATGTTGCAGCAACATCTGCATTCTGCCTCTGAAACTTTCTCCAGCAGCTTGATGTGATGCAGCGGGATTCAGGCAGAGAGGAATCGATCCTTGTTAGTGGGAAAGCGCTGCAGCGAGCATCATTTTCTCTCTGCTCCCTCGGGGAATTATCTACCTTTCTTCAGACTGTTACTCCCTTACCTTTTCTCTCTGGGGGTATAGCTCATAGAAGGAAACTGACACTTTAGAGCTGTCTGACACCTCCCACCCCCTCCCACGGCGTGCCGTCTGGAGGTGTGAAAGCCAAAGTAGGGAGGTGTGAACGGTGCAGGGTATGAGGAAACAGGTCAGAACAGAAAGGGCTATTTGACGTTTAAATTTGTTAAAATGGTAAAACATGTATTTGGGTGCAATTAAAGCTTCTTTCCGGAGTATTTCTCTTATCTGATGGCACCATCTAGTGGCTGACAAGCATATCACACAAAAAGTCTATTCCTCTGTTTTTTTAAGATGGCGACTTCACGTTTCTGTTTATAAATGTGCTTCTTAGCCGACAAACGGAGCAAAAACACGCTGTTCTACGTGTATTATTCTCATCTGTCGTGTTGTGTTCTCATATATTTATATTTTAGAGACTTACTGGTCCGTAAAAAGTTCATCAACTCTACATCAGTCGAGGTATTCCTTAAATTTGAAGCAAGTAAACGGTAGTCTAACACTACTGGTTAGTTCTGGTCGGCGCTCAGTTCCTATTGAAGGGAGCTCTGCGGGGCAGGGGGCGTGCTTAGCAAAAAAAAAAAAAAAAGATGTATTGCTTACATGATGAGATAGTCACTTTTACGGATTTCTGAAAAATCATACATCATTTCTGAAAGGGGAAAACTCGGGAAAGCTGCTTTAAATCCCGTGGAGCTCTAAGGAAGAAGCTGAAAGTTCTCTTGGTTTTAGATCATTGTTGAGATGTTTAAATACGACACAAACAGGAAGATCTGAGCGAGTCAATAATTCCCACAAGGACCGAGCAAAGCTGCATTTGCTGACCAGGAAAAACAGACAACCGTTTGGTGCATTTCTACTAAGATTATTCTAACAGCTTTCAGCCTGAAACATGTCCTCTAGGCTTCCAGACTTGCCTGTTGGTCTCCTGAAGTCTCCTTTTTCCATGACATATTCATTTTGTGGCTGTCCACTCCCCCCGAGGTCGTGGTTCTGCTGGCGCTGCTCACTTTGTGCGTTGTCATACTTGAGCAACAATATGGCCGCCACCGAGTCTCCCCACCATCTCGTGCCCAGGAATGATAATGAGTAGCTTCAGGACGCCTTGTTTTCAACATCTAACTGCACTTGAGGGAAAGTGAGACGGAGAGGGTGAAGGAGAGACGGGTGGGTGGGGGGGTAATGATGTATTAAACGAACGTGACACTAAGGAGGTTACAGGAGGCGGTGAAGGGAGAGATAGGACAAGGACGAGAGGGACGAGGACGAATGTCCAAAATTAAAGGTGCAATCCACAAATATGATGGAAAAGAGTGATGTCATCTGATGTCCATGTCTCTGTCTGCCCCACTCTTGTCCTTCAGACTTTGGTCCGTGTGTCTGCTGTGAGTTCTTGTTCTTGTACTTGTGTGTGTGTGTGTGTGTGTGTGTGTGTGTGTGTGTGTGTGTGTGTGTGTGTGTGTGTGTGTGTGTGTGTGTGTCTTACCACAGAATAATTTAGGAGCCGACCAGAAAAACACGACTGATTTAAAAACAACTTGATGCAGTTATGTTCCCAAATAGGGAACTGGGAGAAACTTGGGTTTATCGATCAGGATTTAGGATTAGTGATCTGCTAAACCCAAGTTCCAGACTGAAGCTTGGATTATTTCCCTTTTTTGTTCCACTTCTAGCAGAGTTTATGAATGTAGTTGAAAACAACAGCTATGAAGAGAGCTCTATGCTGTGTTCTGACCCACTTTAACGTCATGAAGGTAAAAAAAAAAAACTGCAGGAAGATGAGAGACAGCTCGTGTTTCTTCTGCTAGTTTGACTTCTTGTTCACATGGAAACTGTAGTTTGTCAGCAGATGGTCTTCTCATTAATTTTTTCATGAACTTAAAGAGGCAATCTGTAGTTTGTATCATTAATATCTGGAATATCCATCAAAATGTTGTTTAAAATGAATTAAATGAATCCCAGGTGTTAAAAAATACTGGCGGCTTCATAACATATAACCATAAAATTCTGGTCTAAATTGCATTGAGTCTAAGTCTCTGGGTTATGCCATATTAGACGCCATGTTTCCTTCTACGGGAGCCCATGAGGACAAAATACATGGACTTATTTGTAACAAACGGTCACCATTCATACATGTTGTTGTTTTACACGTTTACCTTTTCGCTCGTTGCCAGTTATAAAAGGAGGTCTGATCTGCTTGTCACTTTGCTGGAGGTTGTGCTCCCAGGGATTTTTGACCCTAATGGCTTTCCGTTGGTAAGGTCTTACTCCAACACAAAAATACAGCTGACTTACTTGCTTGCAGGGAAAATACACACTTTAAGTGGCAAGTTTATTCTTTCATTTTTTATGGACATTTAAAATAATGTCTATGCTCCATTAACAGGGATTCAGGCTTTTGTGTTTGATGTATTTTTGTTTTATGTCATTTAGAGAAATATCTCTGATCATTTTTAGATTTAACCAATCAGCAAAATCTCCACAGCCGTTTTTAAAAAGGTAAATAACTAAACAAAAACAGCAAAACAACTGAAGGTTTTGAAATTAAAATTAAAATCGAACAATTCAGTTCAACTTGACCAATAAAACATGCACATTTTCCTTTGGAATCCCATTTGCAACACATTTCCGTCACATTTTATTTGTATCATTTAGTCCCAAACTCTCCTAATTAGGTCTCAACCCTCACGATCGTTTTAAAACAAAACTCCTCATGGATGTTGTTTGTAGTTTTTCTCCAGCAATCAGACACTGGATTTAGATTTTTGTGTCAGTATTATATTTATTTATTTACTTTTCAGTGAACCTTTGAGATGCTTCTGTAGTTCCTGTGAGCCCTTATTGAGCCAAATGGTTCTGATGCCGGTAGGAGCGATGCTCCTGCTCCCCTCCTCGGTTGTATTTACGGCTCATGGCAGATGGCGTGTTAAGAATATTCCTGCTGTGATCCTCCTCCTCCCCTTTGACCACATCATCTGTAATTATTCTGAGTAGTTCCTAAAACGCTCACATGACTGACGTTTTGGGGTGACTAGTTGCTCCGTGCTACGTTGAAGATGGCCGCGTCTGTGTTGGCTTTTAATTACAGCCTCGTGTTTTCGGTTAAAGTCGTTAATAGTATATTACATGATAACCATCTCGCCCGCTCGGATGACTGACAAGTCAGGCTGCTTACCTGCTGCGCTGACTGGCTGCGTGAGTGCCGGTACTCTGCTGAGTGGATCAGCAGACGGATCTGGCTTGAGGTCTGTCTTGCTGACTGACTGGTTGGCTAGCTTCCTGCTGCTCTCTGATGCAGAGGCCAACAGGCCGGCCGGCTGATGCTGACTCAAGGGATAGGCCGAGCGGCGGTCCGACCGACTGACCCCGTCATCTTTATGACAGTCAGATCTGCAGCTTGGGCCTTTAAGAAGGCTCTGCAAGCTGACAGGAGGATAAATAAACAGCCAGATCAGTCTTAGCAGTGTAAAAAACTGCTGCTTTTTAATATAATACTTCAACACCAAAAGCTGTTCGTGCTGTTGAACTTTTTGGAAGGTTGGCAGCCAATCATTTTTTAAATTGAGCTGCAGTTTCAGATGTTTTTATGATCAGCTTAATGTATAAACAGCTTATTTACTAAAATGAGTGAGTGGTGGAATAAAACACGGACACAGCTGAGCGTTGGGATGATTCAATCTTCTGAAGTGTAAAGATAGTGAGACCGAGCTGCAGGTAACGTGTTGTTCTGGGTGTGGAAGTAGGGAAAGGGGCTTTTATTTTTAGATGCTGGAATCTTGAATCGCCCTTTAACCTTTAGGCCTGACTCTGAAATGCCAGCTGCCTGAGGTGTGCAGCTGCACACCTCGATTGCGGCGTCCTTTAACATTGTCTCGGCCAACCTCAAACACATGAAAGTAAACACCGGTTTAGTCAAACTGAGTCCTGCTGCCAGCAGACCCACCTGCAGTACAGGCTGGATCGTGTTTTAGCTGTTAGAGTGTCATCACAGCTGCAGGATGAAGCATGAGCCCCTGTGGTTTTAAACTCTGTGTTGGTCAAATTCGTCCACAGAGAGCCTGACGTGGACTCAAGCTGTTAGTTGATAGTGATTTGACTGATAATTGATCAAGTGCATGGTGCATTTTTAGGAAAGGTTACGTCCGAACGAACACGCAGGAAGAACGCGGTTCTAAGCTTTGGTGTGAAAAGCCAACCATTTTCCTGCTTTTATCCTTTGTGGAGATAAGATTCTGCGGCTCTGGAGTCCAGACCGCCTGCTGCAGATGCTGCTCCTGATAAATGACCATCCGTGATAAGGTAGAAAATGTCACATCATGTGAGCCTCAGTCAGGCCTCAAGATCACAGATGAAGGTGGGCTGAAGCAGCAATAGATGTTAAACAGCTTCAGTGACACGGCGGTGATGGAAACACGATCGTATTCTGTGCCTGAATATGGCGTCCTGAGACTGTGGCAGGGACCGAAGGAGGTTTATTAGGGAAATGTGAGTTTTTCATGAATACTATTCATTTGTTGGACCTTTTTGGCGACTAAGAGAGGAACATAAACTCTAGCTCTCATATGAAACAGAAGCTGTGTTTGCTTAATTTTTATGAATAAAATGCTTCGGATTTCACTTGAAAATGACAGAAATCCCTTTGTTTTCTTTCTTTCTAGGACGAGGAGGAGGAAATTAAGTTGGAGATCAACATGCTGAAGAAATATTCCCACCATAGAAACATAGCAACATACTATGGAGCCTTCATCAAGAAAAGTCCTCCAGGACACGATGACCAACTCTGGGTGAGTTTACCAGACAGCTAACGGCGTCAGGACACTCAGCTGATCGTCATGTAGCAGTCTGAGCAGCCTCTGTTTGGAGAAATAGCCTTTACATCCTACAAGACTGATGAGCTAACTAAAGCAGTTTGGACCAGAAAGATATGTTTAATAGGGATGTGAATCTTAGAGCAACTCAAGATTTGATTTGATTCCGATTCTTGGGCTGCCGATTCGATTCAGAATCGATTCTCGATTCTTAATTTAAATCGATTCACAATCAGTATTAACAAAGAGTGTCAGCTCCAGGATGAACCACTTTGTTGTACACGTTAGTTAAAGCTATGGGACATTTTTATTTTACTTTAAACTGGTCATGCTCCAAAAATGCAAATTTACAATGTAAAATAAAGTGATTCTAAAAATGTAAACAGAAGCAATCTTTTGACCAAAAGGCAACATTTATTTTTGCTTACCTTGTAAAATATAACAAATCTGTAGTTACCCAACAGTAGCTTTGAAAGTAATACTGTCAAATACTTTTCAAGTATGTGTAGAAACAAGTTACATGAGTAATCCTGAGTACTCATTTATCAACTTAGAAAATAAAATGAGAATATCTCAAATTTCTGAGTATGGAAAAAATTACATTCAAATGCCCTCTTATCAGCAGATTCAAACATAAATCATCTCAATTTATGGGACCACAAATGTAAACGGAGTACTGACTCTCCTAAATAAGATCAAAAAAGTACATCTCAAACCTGTAACATGCCAAATATTTGAGTTCTTGGAATCGATTCTGAACCTTTATAAATAAGAATCCCGATTCAGACTTGAATCGATGTTTTTCAGCACCTCTAACGGTTAAATGCTTGTTTTTGTGGAGATCAGGATCATTTTAGTTTTGTCGCTCTGCTGTTTTTCAGGAGATCTCACTCCACCAGCCAGGCCTGTTTGTTTTTACAGCTGCTGCCTCATACTTTGTGCACATGTCCAAAAGTTTTGGTTTTTCGATAATAATTTTCTTCACCAACCGCCTCTGAAGAGAAACAATTAGTGTAGGCTTTCTTAAAGAAGAAGAAATTATTGTTTTAATATGTTACCTCTCGAGATAACATAAGAAACGATGTGTGAGGTGTTTGGGTGAGCTGCACATCATTAGATCAACGTATCAAACATCACCTACCATAAATAGGGATGCGCCGATACGATACTGGTATCGGCATCGGCACGATACCGATACCAGTATTGGTATCGGTAAAAGTTAACCGATACCAGGAACCGATACCAATGCAGTTGCTTGAAAATGGCTTCACTGTAACTTGTCATTTCTGTTCACATAATATTTTAGTTTTGTGATGATTTCCATTCATATATTTTACTTTTTATCTACCTCACAGTCTTTTCCTGTTGAAAGCAGAGAAGAAAATAAAATCTGTATTCCAAATCATTGCATTTTTTTGTGTGGTAGAAGTATCGGTATTGGTAATCGGTATTGGCGAGTACTCAGATCCAATTATCAGTATCGCATCGGTTTGGAAAAAAGTGGTATCGTTGCATCCCTAACCATAAACATTTAAAACATGCTCATTATCGAGTCTTTCACAGCTGAAAATGTAAAGGAGACAATGCAGGAGAGCGTCTGTTTGAGATTATGCAAAAGACTAGGTGAGATTAGTTGGAGATGTCTTGGTTGTTCCCATGAACCACTATGGAATATTTGGAGATCAATGCTGTTTTAATCACCTATTCAGACTGGTGATGCTGTTTTAAACCTTTGAGAACAAAGGTAGGCACAGTATATGATAAAATATTACCGTTGGCACTATTGAGATGTCATTCGTCTTAAATACAGCAAGTTATTTCGTCAGGCTGAATTTATAGCCGGAGAATAATTTGTTGTTTCAGTGAAACTCCGCCCATGCCTGCTCTGACAAAACATGCCTACAACTGCATCTTAGGCAAGGTGGTGTCATGGTCTGTGTCTTTCCCCATGTGTCTCCTGATGTCCTCCATCCCTCTCTAGATTCCCCTTTTGTGTCTCATAGTGCCCTCTTGTGTCCTTTGTCTGCCTCTCATTTATGTGTCTTCTGTTTGTTGCCCTTTGTTGTTAAGTTAAGTTGTTTATGCAAGGAGTTTAACATTTGCTTATAACCTTTGTGTAAATGCTACAATGAGTTGGCATGTTAAATCTTCTGAATGTGTCTAATAAAAATCAGAAGTAAAAGTTTTAACTTATGTAAATGTGTTAACCTCTGTGTTAGATCATACAAAATAAAAGACTAAATATGGATTCATTTATGCATATTTATTGAGGAACAAAAGTTTCTGCAGTGTTTGCTCCAAGGCGATTTCTCCTCTTAGACACCAGTTCCCCTGCCTTAGAAAACACCCTTTCACAGGGTACAGATGAAGATGGTGTGCATAAGAATTGAAGTGCGAGTTGAAAAAGGTGTGGATATAAATTCTGGTTATTTTTCCAATATTGTAATAGGTCTTGTGTTATTGGTGTGTTTCTTTCAGCCAGGTAGTGTTGGACTTCAATTATGGAATTGGCTGTAGTATTAGAGGTCATCCTGCTCTCCTCAACCTCCATATCAAGGTGTCTCCAGAGATTGTGTCCTAACAAATAAATTGGAAATAAGTCTGTTAATCATTGGTTTACTATCACATGACAAACTTACACAGAAATAAACAAATATTCACAAAGAAATGTGTTTTCATACCTGAACTGTGTTCTGATCCATGTGAAGTGCTAGGCTCCTCTACTGCTGGGTCAGGCTCATGGCTCCTCATTTCAGCAGCACACTCTGACTTCAGTCTCTTGACAGCTTCAGTTGCTTTCAGTGGACTAAAAAAGCCAGCAGTTTTAAACCTGGGGTCCAACAATGTTGCCAGTGACATCACACTGAGCGATTCCATGTTGCAGATGGACTCGGTTAGCCGCTTTGACAGATATTCAGCCAGCTGTTTAGCAGTGGGTTTTGTCACCGTTGAAGATTGATGTTGAAGCTCAATGTGGATTATTCTCATCAATGGAATAACCTTTGACCCCGAGACCCTTTTTTTCCTCAGAGAGTTCTCTTGTGGCTTGGTAAAAAGGAGCAAGCACCCTGAGCATCTCTTCAATGATTTCAAATTCTTCTGGAGTCAGTGGAGTGAGATCACTTTTTAATGAGGCCAGTGACACCCAGACTGCCTCCTTCTGCTCAGTCAATCTCCCCAGCATGTGGTAGGTGCTGTTCCATCGTGTCGGCACCTCATTTATTAATTTATGCAATGGTGTTCCCAGCTGTTGCTGCATTTGAGTGAGCTTTTCCTTGGCCGTGGTGCTTGATCAAAAGTATGTCACAATTTGCCGTGCTTTGTTGCGTAGTTCTGTTAGTGTTGAGATTTGATCACATGATTTTCTTACAATTAAATCCATGGAATGGGCAATGCAAATGGTTTGCCGTACTTGTAGCATTCGAGCACATGCAATCATGTTTGCTGCTGCATCAGTGACAAGACACCTGACTTTGCCTGCTATGCCCCACTCCTCCATGAGGCTCCTTTTAACTGTGGCCATGTTTTCTGCAGTGTGTTTCTGAGGGAAATGCTGCACTCCCAAGACTGATGAACAGAGTTCATGGCTTTCTTTGTCCACATAGTGGCAAGTAACGGCAAGATATGCCTCCATATTAATGGATGTCCACATATCAGCTGTTAAACTAACAGCAATGATGCTCTGGAGGTCCTTTTTTGTTTTCTCATTTTCCTCCTCATATTTCTGGCTCACCAAGTCCTTAATGACCTACAAGTAGGGATGAGCGAGTAGGGGCAACAGTGAAGCAAACACAGAGAGATCCATTACTGTCTGTGTGTGTGCGTGGATGTAGGGAGGGGCGGGCGCTCTATGTGACTGGCCAATCACAGAGTGTGAAGACAGTCGGTTACCCAGTGAGGGGTTTCCTTCAGCACGATTACAGATATTAACGAGTTTTACTCGTTTCATGCTCGTATTCGTCAAAAATGCTTTATCCGTACCGGATACTCGTCTGAAACGAGTATCCGGCTCATCCCTACCTACAAGTAAACATACCAATACTGTAATACCAATATTACATAAACACACACACACACACACACACACACACACACACACACACACACACACACACACACACACACACACACACCATGAAAGTGCTTGATTAATTAAAGCAAACATTTCGTAAACATACCTTCCTGCTTGGTAGAACATATGAGGGTGCAATAAGCTGCAGGAGCTCCCTGAATCCCTCATTTTCAACAATGGTGAGTGTCTGGCAGTCTTTGATGATCATGTTAACCACACCCTCATCCACTGCTTGCTTGTTAGGAACTGCAAGCCAAAAGGAAATACTTTTTTTAAAGCTTTAAAAGCTTATTAAAATGATTTTACAAGCAATACCACAGAGTAACACAAAGCCTTTTGTGTGTAATAGACTATTTTTGACAATTCAGATTTTTTTGTGATAATTTCAACATACCTGGGGTATCTACCAATTCATCATTGCCATGCCGAGCTCTATAATGCCTCAGCATTGATGAAGTGCTCTTATTTGAGTAAGACAGCTCTGTGGAGCAGAGCCGACACTTCACCTACAATAAAATAAATAGTTCATTTATCTGAAAACAATTTAAGCCTCTTAGCAGAGAAAGACTACAAACACATTTAAAATACAGAAATAACAGTAAACGTTGCCAAATGGAGAAAACAATTTACCTTTTTTGGCGTCAAAAGATCAAAATTATTCCAGACTGGGGAAAACTTCTTGGAACGATCCATGAAGTCAGCTGAGAAAAGTGAGCGTGAGGGTAAGGAAAAATCCAAAATCCAACAGCAAAACTCTATCCAACAAATCCGCAACATGTCGATACAGTTTGTTTCCTTATAAACACAATTTGGCGCGGCGCATCCAAACAACACACTTCCTGTGTCGGTCACGTGATATTTTCTTAAAGCGATACACGCACCGATACGGGGTTTCACTCTTGTGCAGTCAACACTGTGCTGACGCGCCAGTGTCGTTCGTCCCATCACTACATCCTAAAATAAAGGACTTGTTCTTTATATCAACTCCTGCCTCGTGTCATCCTGGGTAACTGCATTTTGGGTCCAAACCATCCTCTCAACGTGACAGGTGGTTACTGTTTCACAGGGGTAGGCAATCTGGAGTGCTGCTATCCAGCATGTTTTAGTTTTTTCCCAGTTCCATCACATCTGATTTTAGTCAGTAGGTGATTAACAGGCTTGATGAACAGGTGAATCAACCTTTTAATTAGGTGTGTTGAAGCTAAAACATGCTGGATAGCGGCGCACTAGGACCTGGACTGCCTACCTCTGCTGTATTGGATATGCTAGTCCAGTGGTAAGAGCATCCAGCCCAGCACTCGATACTCTAGACTACCAAGTCTGTGACTTGTCGCCTATGCCACATATCCTGAGCTGGCCAGGGGAGACAGGTTTCAAACCAGAGACTAGCTTCCAGGTGGGGAGCAGGGTCTGTTGTCGGGAGCAGGAAGAGACATACAATTTATACATCAGGCCCAGAAATTTCAAAATAAAATTCAAAATTAGCAGCTGAAACAGGAAAATGCATGAATGCAGCCAAAACGAGTTTGGGGTATTTTTCATGAGGCAACAACATTACATGCTAAAAAGCTCCAAAAAGTCGATTTTCCATAATATAGCCCCGTATAATAATAAAAAAAACACCCATCTGCTGCTGTTAGAACATCAGTAAGTATTCTAAATATATTCTGATTGATAATGATTCCTCCACACAAAATCTCATTTTGTCTTCAGTTTCGACAACAGATTTGATGCAAAATGTGTTTTTTCGAATGTAGTTTACAGAAACACAAAGTAAAAGTAATAAAACTATATCTGCCACATCCTGAACTGAGAGATGAATCCTGCAGATGTGGTCAGGAGGTCATCCAACGTCTTTGTCCTCCTACAGAGGCTCTTATAGATGCTCCTCTTAGGAGTGCATTTTTCAAAAAGTCGTCCTGTTTCAATCAGTGTAAATGGGTTGCAAGTGATTTTCCTATCGTCCTTCTACTGCTCCGGACATCTACGATGACCAGATCTTCAGAAAATGTTGTTTACTACCCAACATTAGGCAGACGTGCATTCAGAGCTAGTTCAGTGGCTCCTAAATGAAAACAAGATCGTCTCTAGCATATTTTTCAGATGATGGAGGATTATGTGTCTTCTGATGACTCCTTCTGTCTTCCAGCTGGTGATGGAGTTCTGTGGTGCCGGCTCCATCACAGATCTGGTGAAGAACACCAAAGGCAACTCGTTGAAGGAGGACTGGATCGCCTACATCTCCAGAGAGATCCTCAGGGTGAGTTAAAGATGATACAGAGTGCATAGAGAAGTCATTAATAAAGCAGTGAGATTGAGGTATTTTTGTTTGTCTGCACAGGGATTAGCTCACTTACACGCTCACCACGTCATCCACCGTGACATCAAGGGACAAAATGTGCTGCTGACTGAAAACGCAGAAGTCAAACTGGGTATGAGCACGGATGCACTCACAGATTATCTATAAGTGGTTATGCTGTTCCCTCCCAGCATACCGGTGCATTCACCACCTGTCTCACTGGAGAAAGCTGCCTGAACAACCTCAGTTTAGAGAAATATAGTTTATGTTCAGCAGGACGGATGGACTAACAGCTAGTCCTACTGCAGCCCAGATTAAAGGGGATTAATGCCATTTTAAATAAGTTCCTATTTTAAAAAATGCCCTGCCACCATTTAGGCTTTAGACTGTTATTCATCAATGTTTGGGGTCACTGCCAAGCTGATCTTAGAGACAGAGGTGTGTTTGACTGTCTCAACCAGACTCTCCGTTGCTCTAGACAAACAGGATAAAATAATCCTGTCATAAACCATTTTTCCCTATTTCTTTAAAATAACGAGAATGACATCTGCAGTATTGAATTTTCATTCATTTGAATTGATATTCAGTCTAAACAAGCCGAACAGACAATCCGTCACACACACGAGGCAGACATGTAACATTTTCTCTTCAGTGGTAAAACGCACCGACTCTGGTCCCAGTAGCTGCGTTGAAAATGAAATAAAGATTGCTCCTAAAATATGAACAGTTCACCTGCTGTGGCCTGACCCTGCAACTTACCCTCTCAGTGGCCTAGTGGTAGACTTTCCACCCAGGGACTGGGAGATAAGAGTTCAAATCCCAGTCAGGTTTTACCAAAGACTTAAAAAATGGGACTATATGCCTCCCTGCTTGACACTCAGCATTAAAGGGTTAGATTGGGGGGTTCATCCATCCATCCATCCATCGGGGGCAGCATGCAGGGAGGCCTAAACTTTCCTCTCCCCAGCCACTTGGGCCAGCTCTTCCGGGGGAATCCCAAGGCGTTCCGTGGCCAGGTGAGAGACATAGTCCCTCCAACGTGTCCTGGGTCTCCCTTTAGGTCTTCTCCCGGTTGGACGTGCCCGGAAAACCTCACCAGGGAGGCATCCAGGAGGCATCCTGACCAGACGCCCGAGCCACCTCAACTGGCTCCTCTCGATGTGGAGGAGCAGCGGATCTACTCCGAGCCCCTCCTGGATCCCCTATCTCTAAGGGAGGGCCCAGCCACTCTGTGGAGAAAATTCATTTCGGCCGCTTGTATCGGTGATCTCGTTCTTTCGGTCACTATCCTAAGCTCATGACCATAGGTGAGGGTAGGAACGTAGATCAACCGGTAAATTGAGAGCTTTGCCTTCTGACTCAGCTCTCTCTTCACCAAGAAAGACCGGTACAAGACCCGCATCACTGCAGATGCAGCACCTTACTCAGTGGCCTAGTGGTAGAGTGTCCGCCCTGAGACTGGGAGATCAGGGGTTCGATTCGTGGTCGGGTCATACCAAAGACTTTGAAAAAATGGGACCCAATTAGAGCTGAAACGATTCCTCGAGGACCTCGAATAATTCGAGTACAAAAAATCCTCGAGTCAAATTCTCTGCCTCGAGGATTCGTTTAATTCATATTTAATTAATTCATGGCTTTGCAATCGCCCGGGGTCATGTTTCACCCGGACCGAAATAAGTGACGCACATGCCCACTGGACTGAATGCACACGCGAGTAGCGAATATAACTTAACTTTCTCTTAAGCCATGGCGGACAACGTAGACCCCGGTGGAGGGCGAAAAAGACAGAAAATGTCAAAGGTGTGGGAGCATTTTTCACGTCGTAAGGTGGAAAACGTAGTCCAGTATAAATACTGTAAAATGGATTTAGCCTAGCACAACACCACATCCTCCGTGCTGCAGCACCTGTAAATGTCTCTTCTGCAAGCGGACTCGGAGCCTCTACAAGATAATGCATTTTAGCCTGTATTTCTATATATTCTGCGGACTCTGCGACTTTTTCGTTTGTAGCACTCAGTTTCAGCTCACACCGTACGTCTGCTAGCAACACGTCGGACTTAAAATGTGCTAAAAAATAGCAGTTTTTACACAACACGTCGGACTTTTTATTGTGTTATTGACGTCTGTTGTCCCTCGGGGTTTCTGCAGGAGGACACGGGTATTTATGAGTGGCGGAGGAAAACGAAAGAAAGTAAATAAATGTTTTGTGATCAGTATAATTTGACAAAACCACAGCAAACATGCTTTTGGCAATCCTTGTTAGTGTGAGAAAAAAGTGTGGAAATTAAAACGGACGTGTGTTAATAGGGAAACAGCCGGCGAGCTGTTTGCGCCGTGAGCGGTTCTGGTTCTGTTTGGGCCGCAGCCGCTCGCAGCGTTATCCTCCTAGTTTCTGTCTGGCTTGCAGGCTAGCAGATTCTCGCACGAGGGGAAAATCGGCTCAGGTTGTGCACAGGCATTTGTTTACTGTGAAGTAAAGTTGAAGTGCTGAAGTTTTGCAAACTAATTTTGAATAAAACTTGAAGAATAACTGGCAATTGCTTGCTCATTTTAAGAGGTCTTTCATAATTATAACATGCTATTTGATATCAAATCAAATCACTTTTATTGTCACGTCACATGTGCAGGTACACTGGTACAGTACATGCGAGTGAAATTCTTGTGTGCGAGCTTCACAGCAACAGAGTTGTGCAAAAATACAGTAATGTAAAAACAAGTAAAATATAAAAATGGCTAATCTAAGTATACAAATTAATAAAGTAAACAATAAGATAAGAGATATAAAATGTACAGAGGTTGGTATGTGCAAAACAGTGGCATTAATGTACAGTAGGGAGCGTGTAATGTTGGAACTTGGTGGAGCTCGCGACGAGGCAGCCATACTCGGCGCCATCTTGGCTCATCAATATATGATATAATGGTTTACAAACACAAAAGGGTAATTTATTAGAGTACTCGATTAATCGAAAAAAAGATTCGATAGAGTACTCGATTACAAAAATATTCGATAGCTGCAGCCCTAGACCCAATGCCTCCCTGCTTGACACTCAGCATTAAGGGTTGGATTGGGGGGTTAAACCACCAAATAGTTCCCGAGCGCGGCTGTGTCTGCAGCTCACCACTCCCCCAGGGGATGGGTCAAATGCGGAGAACAAATTTCGCACACACACCTGTGTGTGTGACAACTAATGGGACTTGAACTTTAACAATCCACCTATCAATCTCACACTGCAGTTTTCCCTCACTTGTGAACAAGACTCCAAGGTACTTAAACTCCTCCACTTGAGGCAGGACCTCATCCCTGACCATTATTATTCTGAGCTACTACAGCAATCAATTTCCCTCTGGGATTAATAAAGTATTTTTGAATTGAATTGAGAAGGAATTTTACCATTCTTCGACTCAAGACCATGGTCACGGATTTAGAGGTGCTGATTCTCATCCCAGCTGCTTCACACTTGGCTGCAAACTGGGTAGAGAGACTGGGTAGGCCTATCAGGATCTGCTCTGGTGTGGTTCTCCTCTTATCTCTCTGAGCGCTCCTTTTCTGTGGCCGTCTCCAAGTTTAGGTCCTCCACCACCTCTCTTACCCATGGTGTCCCACAAGGTTCTGTGCTGGGGCCTCTGCTCTTCCTCCTCTATCTGCTTCCTCTTCAGCACATCCTGAGCTCCTTCAAAGGAATCTCCTACCATCTTTATGCAGATGACATCCATCTGTACATCTCCTTTAAGCCCCATGAGATGTCTAAGCTGCAGCTGTTATACACCTGCTTAGACTCTATCAAAACCTGGATGGCTGGGAGCTTTCTTCAGCTGAATGAAGATAAGACTGAGATCCTCATCTGTGCCCCAGACAAGCTGGTTCCCAAAGTCAGAGACTCTCTTGGTCAGCTTGCTTCCCACACCAAACCCTCTGTCAGGAATCTTGGCGTGACCTTTGACCCAGCTCTCACCCTGGATTCTCATGTCAGTTCTCTTGTTCGCTCTTCCTTCTTCCATCTCAGGAACATTGCTAAGCTGAGTCCCGTTCTGTCTCGCTTTGAACTTGAGACAGTTATCCACACCTTCATCTCCTCACGCTTAGACTACTGTAACTCTCTTTTCACGTGTCTGAGCAGAACCTCCCTGAACCATCTACAGATGGTTCAGAATGCCTGTGCTCGGCTTCTGACCAAGTCCTCCAAACACACCCACATCACCCCGCTTCTCCTCCAGCTTCATTGGCTGCCAGTCAACTTCAGGGTTCATTTCAAGATCCTGGTTCTGGTCTATAGGGCCGTACATGGACAATCATCATCTTACATTGGTGATCTTCTTAGTCCCTACAGCCCCAGCAGGTCCCTGAGGTCCAGTGATCAAAGCCTACTGGTTGTGCAGCACCAGGCTAAAGACCAAAGGTGACAGATCATTTGCTGCTGTGGCCCCCAGACTCTGGAACTCTCTCCCCCTGAGCCTGAGATCAGTGGACTCAGTGGTCTCCTTTAAAAAGCAGCTGAAGACTCACTTGTTCAAGCTGGCTTTTGGATGACCTTCTTCACCACTCTCTCTTTTTTCTGCTCTCCCCACCTATTCCAGCTTCCTCAGGATCCACTGATTTCCCTCTTTCCTATTCACTCTCTCTCTTTCTTAACATTTTTTTATCACAATTGTCAATTTTTTGCTCATTTTTAATATATTTTTAACTATTTTCTAAATTCTTTTTTATATTTTTACACTTTAATTTTGTGAAGCACCTCGTGATTTTTATCTTGAGAGGCGCTATAGAAATGATATTTTCTTCTTCTTCATCTTCTTCTTCTTCAAACTGCTCCAGATTGGGAGGTTAAACCACCAAATAGTTCCTGAGCACAGCCACTACTGCAGCTCACTGCTCCCCATGGGCTAGGTCAACACCAGTGTGTGAGGACTAATGGGACTTTTGACTTTTCCTCCTGGCCCTCACAGACATAAAGGTGTGGTTCACTGACAAGCCATTTTGTAATGATTATTTCCGATTATAATGGGTCACTTTGAGTTTGTCATGCAGGCTGAACATGAAACAAGTCTCTACACCTATCTCCTGCAATAGTGTCTGATAGAAAATAGACGGTGAGACTCTAGGATTAGAAAAGCCTGACAGATCTAGCAGATTCAAGCAGTTGCCTCGACTCACCCACATTGGCTCGCAACGGGGAAGGCTGTTGTTGTTTAAGCATCTAGAAACAGTAGAGAACGTCTCGGCTAGCAGAAGCTAACTGTTAGCGTTAGAAACTCAACCACACAGTAGAACTCCTTCAGGCTTGTGTTATTTGTGGGGATAAAACATCAACGTGGCTGAGCAGTGTCACACTGTTGTTAGCCAATCAGAGATGTCCAAATATCAGGAAAAAAGGCTCCAAATCCTGCCGTGTTTCCCCCCTAATATGGCTAGCAAGGAATTCATTTCTACCAGAGATCACTGCAAATGTATAGATTAAACGAGTTTCCCACACCTAGCCAAACTGCTTGTATGTAATCTAATCTCTTATGGAATGGCTGCAGAGGCGATTGTCATGAAGTTTTGGACTTTTGCCTCAGACAAACGACGTCTCTGAGCTGTTTTGATGTTGTTCTAGTTCCAACGAACTTTATTCACTTTGGACTTAATTAGAAAACATTTTAAAGCTAGGTGAGAAGACATCCCAGACTAACAACTGCCCAGCTTTGTTTAGTTTTATCTGTCTGTTTGGACATGTCCAGAGGAGAGACAATGATGACATAGGTAGAAGGCTGCTGAGGTTGGAGTCACCAGGCAGGAGGCTGAGAGGAAGACCAACAAGGAGATTTATGGATGTGATGAAAGAGGACAAGACTTTAGTTAGTGTGAGGTTAGAGGATGCAGGAGATGGGACTAAATGGAGACAGATGATTGGTTGTGGAGACTCCTGAAGGGAAGAGCCGAAAAGATAAAAGGAATCTTTTACAGCTATTCTCTAGACCGGTGCACCTGGTAGATGTCAGAAGAAAGGTTCTGAAATGAAGTAGATCTGAGCAAAGTGAGTCACAATTCTCCAGATATCATGTTGAGTTTGCAAACTGATTTCTGCAACACGGAGTAATCTCCACGAATAACTGTTTTACGATCGTTACCTCCGCTCAAGACTCCATGAAGGAAACCATGTTGACGGCTTTGATTTGTGTTTCTCCTCAGTGGACTTTGGTGTGAGCGCTCAGCTGGACAGGACCGTAGGTCGGAGGAACACTTTCATCGGGACGCCGTACTGGATGGCTCCAGAGGTGATCGCCTGTGATGAAAATCCTGATGCCACCTACGACTACAGGGTGAGGACAGTGGCTGGGTTATAGACATCTTCCTTTGTAGCCCTGTTGTAAATACACAACTCGTGTGTGTGTGTGTGTGTCTTTCAGAGTGACTTGTGGTCTTGTGGGATCACAGCCATTGAGATGGCTGAGGGAGCTCCTCGTGAGTACACAGCTGTCATAATTCATTTTAAAGGCTATTAGGGTTTAGCGAACAGGCTTTCCGTTTCCTGTGATATTTTGGTTTCCATATGGGCTCAGGTCCTGGGTATTATTTATCACCTCAAAAATAAATTAGACATATGTTTTGGCTAAAAAGGTTTTTACCCTCTCAGACAAAATAAGTTTTGATAAAAGGATGAACAACTAAGTCCTTCAGGGGTACTTCTGAGTTAAAAAATGCTCATGAAATACGTATGTGGAGTAACCAGGTAGGCAGGTTTTAATGTTGCAAATCTGCGACGGCTGCCTCCAGAGGGCTACGAGATTTTGGTGACAGCAGATTGTTGAAAAAGTGTGTTTTGCACAAACTATTAGTTGAATCTGCCATTTATGAGCATGTTTTTAGCTTGTAAGTGGAAATGAACCTACAAACATGCTGGTTTCTGTTTCTCTGCAGCCCTGTGTGACATGCATCCAATGAGAGCTCTCTTCCTCATTCCCAGGAACCCCCCACCTCGACTTAAGTCCAAAAAATGGTGCAGTAACGTTTTCCACTTTTTCCGTTTCCACCTAAAACTTCTCCAGTTACACCTCAGAGTGAATGTTTCACATCCCAACTCTAAATGCTAACAGGTCCAAGAAGTTCTTCAGCTTCATCGAGGGCTGTTTGGTGAAGAACTACACCCAGCGTCCACCCACCGAGCAACTCCTGAAACACCCCTTCATTCGGGACCAGCCCAACGAGAGGCAGGTCCGGATCCAGCTGAAAGACCACATTGACAGAACCAAGAAGAAGAGGGGAGAGAAAGGTTGGTCATGAAGGGTCCCTCACTGATGGCGCGCTTCCGTTTTCTAATCATGTTGTGTTTGTTGTTGTTTTCCATAGACGAGACAGAATATGAATACAGTGGCAGTGAAGAAGAGGAGGAAGAAGCATCTGAGCAAGAAGGAGAACCAAGGTGATAAACCTTGTTCCATTTTGAACACCGACTACAGCAACAAACCGTTGGAATTGACTTATTTGATATTTACGGGCACTTTTCCTACCATGGTTTATTAGAGTGGTTGTGGATGAAAACGATGATTAGAGCTGGAGGTGGTGGAATCCCGGGAAAAAGCTTAGAAACTCGAGCATTTATGTGAAAATACTGGAACTTGCCCTGATTTTGGAATGTCTTAAAATTGCAAGATAAAAGAAAACATATATTTGATTTAAACTTGCATTAACAAGGGTAAAATGTGCATAAAACCGTCAGTATCAAAGTCTTAGGTTTTGCCTAAACTAATTCATTTGAAACTGCTTCTGTACAACGATGTGAGTTAAAAAGATGCACGAGTATAAAAAGGCTCTAAAAGGTAAAACAATGTAAGAAATGTTTTGTGAAATCATCACTAAACAGGTGAATGTCTCATAACCACGTTGGAAGGAAAGCTACACTAAAGCATATTTCCATCTCAGCCGGCTGGTAGCTTATTAGTTTTCTCCTTTTAAAAAAGCCAAAGACGGACATTGTCATTGTTTGCAATCCATAATTGCTTTCTGTTTCCAGAGCCAATCATATTTGAGCTCACAGGGTTGCCAAGTCTGCGGGCATGTGTAATACGACATCGGCCAGCAAAGAGCAGTAGAAGTGACCCAGAAGTTATTTCTTGTACCCCTAAGAAGTAGGGGTTGTATGAACTAGTCGACTTTGACGGCTCTGTAGTGACTTTTTATGCCTGTCATCGACTAGTCGCTGTCACGTGATAATGACTGACAAGATGCAGTCCTCGGATAAGACAGCAGGTGATGAGCCCCTGCGTCGGGAGGCGGAGGCAACGCGCTGTGCCAGAGCGTCGACACCGGCGGTAAAGCGGACATTTAACCAAACTGTGACCTTTTCCCTCTTGCAATTTTACCTTCCCCTCACCCCCCATCCTAATCTTAACCAGTTTGCGCATGCAAAGCTCTGATCGTTAACGCGCTCCAGACATCTGCGTCCTGAGCACTGCCAAATCAGGTGTCACCACCTCAAAAACAAATTGAACACGCGATCGTTCATGTCGGCTTATTTCCTTTCATGTTTTCTGTCTGTTATTTGTGCCTGATGCGTTTCGCTGCTGCGGAGCGAGGCTCTTCACCTGTTTTGTTCTCTGGTGACGCACCCCCAAAATTCCACTATCTCCACTCCGCTCCGGCACGAACTCCGCAGCAAAAACGGTCCCGTTGTAGTCGGCCGGCGAGCAGCGGCGCTCCGCTGTTTTTGCGGTCGGTAGATCTTTTAGAACTGCAGTTCAAAGGTAACTCATGAGGTGAATATATATGAACCCAGGTAGCAGTTTTTCTTTAGGATTGAGAGGAGATGCAGGAAGATAATAAACAGGCAGGACAGAAAAATAGTCAAATAAAAACAAGTTAGTTTTTGTACCTGGTGGTTGCAACAAACAGACACGATTGAAAGTAATCAGAAGTGAGGAACAGAAAATGAAATAATTATTTTAATGTTTAGAGCAGCAGAAAATGCTGCAGGCGCATCAGTGAGTTTGCGGCTGCAGCGCAGGGGGAGGTGGGAGAGGGCTGAAGTAGGATGCAGAAACTACCGCTGTTAAAAGAGATGTGTTAACTTAGAAAATGTGGGCGCAGTTTTAATTGTCAAAAACTCCAGCGAACCTAGGACTCTAGAAGGCGCTATATCAAATACAGGCCATTTACCATCTAACAATGCAAACGAAGAATTTTAAAAAATGGGTCGGCTCTAAAAAATATCCCATGTTACTTTTTCAATTACCAACAGTGAAATGTAGCTTACTGTGTATGACTCATCTTCACATGTCATCTAGAATCCTCTAATGCTAACTGGCAACAGCCAACGGTAGTGAGAGAGTCACTCATTTGTTTTGATACTTGGACTGCAGTACCCAAATTTGACCACAGGGTGTCAATCTTACTTCATTCAAACTAAAGGGATGAGCCAGTGTTTTTAGATGAAGGAACTATAAATCTGATCATTTAGCTCTCTGTTATAACTAACTCTTCACTCTTTAGCTCCATAGTCAACGTGCCCGGGGAGTCGACTTTGCGTCGTGACTTCATCCGGCTGCAGCAGGAGAACAAGGAGCGCTCGGAGGCCCTGCGTCGCCAACAGCTCCTTCAGGAGCAGCAGCTCCGTGAGCAGGAGGAGTACAAGCGCCAGCTGCTGGCAGAGAGGCAGAAGCGAATCGAGCAACAGAAGGAGCAGCGGAGGAGGTTAGAGGAGGTGAGCTCATGCACCATCTGATGTACATCAGGAGAAATGTCATTTTTTCCCTCTAATATTAAGTTTAAATGAGAAATGAATGCCCAGAAATCCTGATTTTTGTATAATAAATACCAGTTTCTTCCCTTTAGTAAAGGAATGACGGGTTAGGGCTGAAATAAAGTCACATGGTCCCATACCTAAATTATGTATTAGTTCCAGCATCACGGGATATTGCTGAAAGTTTGAACATGCAGAGAAAAGCTTGAATATTTAATAAACTTTATGTATGCATGTTTTAGAAGCAGGTCAAACTCCCTGAGAATCTCTGAGACACTCCTGCAAACTACAAACTCATGTTTGGTGGGTTTTCTCACTAGTTTCTGTGCATGATAATGCAGGACTCCTTTTTGGCCCTTTACAGCAGCCGTACAGTTCTGTTACCGTCCTGCGCAGAGAAAGCTAGATCACTTAGCTCGCTGTGGGAGGAGAGCTGCAGTGAGTCTTCCCAGGAGCAGAGGAGGTTGCCGAGAAGTCACAAAAGTCATCCAGGAAAAGTCTAGTTTTGCAGCTGCTGCTTTATTGTCAGATTGCAAGAAAAGTACTGCAGCAACATGTTTAAAGCCTCAAAGTTTAAGCTCCTGCAGCAGCAGACTCAGAAGAGAGCGTGGTGTTCGGGTTATGGTGGGCATCTTGGGAGGAGGAAGACACAAATCCATGAGACGACAGGATCTGTGTGACCTCCTGTGTTCCGCTTCAGCAACAACGGCGTGAGCGTGAGATGAGGAGGCAGCAGGAACGCGAGCAGCGCCGGCGTGAGCAGGAGGAGAAAAGACGCGTGGAGGAGATGGAGCGGCGGCGCAAAGAGGAGGAGGAGCGCCGGCGGGCGGAGGAAGAGAAGAGGAGGGCCGACAGGGAGCAGGTACTAAAACAAACAGGAAAGGAAGACAAAATCGTCAAGATGAGCAATTTTTACTGAAACTTTGTGTTAAGATACCGAAACAAAACACCTAAGATGTGAAACATAATTGATTTTACTTCATGCACTTTTGCATGCATGAAACAATATTTGGACCCCTGCAGATCCACATAGGTTTTGTCTCTTGCATCATGTTTATGCTGGAAATGTACCACCACTTGACCCAAAATGATCTAAAAGCCATGTTGTGGGACCTCCTAGCGCTATTTTAGAAGTCATCCCCACCTAAACGGCTCAGGATCTAAACTGTACCTGACATCAGTTGTGTTTGGTTGACAGGAGTATATCCGCCGCCAGCTGGAGGAGGAGCAGAGGCACTTGGAGATCCTCCAACAGCAGCTCCTCCATGAACAGGCCATGCTGCTGGTGAGGGTTTTCTGCCCCGATGTGTCCAGTTTTCTTCTTCATAACAGTATAAACTACTTCCCTTAATGATGTTTCCATCAGTCATTCCAAGTGGAAATGTTTTAAGTTTACACAGCTCCTTTTATTGGTGCTTCATGAGTCCTTCTTTGCTCCTGAGTTAGTTTAGAATCAGGTTTCTGGGATTTCCTCCGGCTCTTAGAGGTCCGAGGGGAGCCATCACCAGCTGAGGTCCAAACATGAAGTTTTCTCAGGGTTTTCAGGGGAAGTCAGGATGTTTACAGGTCCCTCAGTGAGGCTGATGTCATCATCAGGAAACCAGTCATCCAACAGGAAGAGAGGGGTTCCTATTCCTGCTCAGGTCCCACAGATTTGTTCAGTTACTTAACATTTTCACTCCAAAAGGATGTGTTTCTCTGGGTGTTTAGAAGATTCTCAGAGAATTAAAGGATGTGACCTCTTCCACCTTCATATAGGAGTCAAAACATCATCTCTGCTCCAAAGGGGTTAGGAATAATAAACTATACATCAGCCTCTGTAAGTTTATATGTTTTAGAAATAAGCAGCTATGTTAGTTTGTGGTTGTTCATCCACCACCACATTAGAAACACATTTAAGCTAGTTTCAATCTAAATTTCCTGTGAGGGGTGGGTGATGTGATGCTATTAGATCGTGCTGCTCATTGGGCCTGAAAGATCTACTCTATCTTTTTAGGGCTTTGCATTTATAAAGGTGATGGTTTGGTTGCGTTGTTATGTATAAAAGAAACCAACGTAAACTTGTGATGACTTTAGGATATTGTGATACTTTTGCCCTACCGCCCACCTCTGTGTCCGGCTGGTAGACATGAAAGTAAATAGAAGTGTTGTAGAGGTCACACCCAATGTTCTGGTACAACTCAGGAGTACAAATGGCGAGAGCTTGAAGAGCAGCGGCAAGCCCAGAAGCTCCAGAGACAGCTGCAGCAGGAGCAGGCCTATCTGCTGTCTCTACAGCAGAACCAGGACCAGAACCAGAACCAGAACATGGACAGTAGCAAAGCAACCCAACAGCAGAGCACTAACCCCTCACAGAACCTGGAAGCAGAGAAGACAAAGCCTCTGCAGACTGCTAACCCAGACACATCAAAACAGCCTCTGGGTGGCGACTCTGAGAAGGTCCGACACAGCCCGGTTTCCAGCCTGGGAAAAAGTCCAGAACCTGAGCAGCCTGTGACTGACCTCCAAGGCTCTGCACCTGAATCTGAGTCGGTCCGAGAGGTGAACGTAATGTTGTCGCTCTGGCTGTAGGATGCCTCTGTGCTTGTGTGATCTCACTGCTTTGGTTCTGCTGTGCTGACATGGTGATGGCTAACTGATGTTTTGGACTCTTGATAGTTGACTAGAACCTTTTCTACAACTCACAGACCCGACCGTTTAACAGACCCTGTAGGTACTTCGCTGCAGTGATAGCAGGCCAACAGCTAAGGGCTTCCATCGGGTTTCTGTGTGTCTGACTCTTTCTGTTTCTACTTTCTCCAACTGTTAGCACCAGTCACGGCATCACACACTCAGCTTAAAGTAAACCAGCTTTGTGTTTGAAGTTCAAATCTTGTGGCAGTTTTCAAAGTATCATGAAATATAACTGTTGAATTAAAAAAAAATAAAATATATATATATATAACAATGCTAAAGACTAATCTTTGCAGTCTCTCTCTCTCTCCGAAATGCATGACACTCCTGCTAGTCGTGGTTCTGTTGTCCCTCTGGCACAAATACAAAAATAATCTGGTGAAAATAACATGGCTGCTCTTGATGAGATGCCCTTCTGATGTGCCTGTACCACGTTGTTTACTTATATTTTTTTCTTTTTGTTTGGGGAAAACTAACAAATCCTACCATGCCAACGCTTCTGTCCTCATTGTCCTCTTAATGTCCTGGCAGACACTGATCTGGACTAGCCGCTAACGCTCCTCTCTGTTTGCCCTCATCAGGCTGATGAACGGTATCGGAAGAACATCCAGGGTTCTCCGCAGTCCGCTCAGACCAAACCACAGCAGCCTCCAGTGCCGCCGCGCTCTGAGTCCTCACACCCCAATGGGAACTCGGCATCTGAGGCTCCTGCCATGCAACGACCTGTAGAACCACAGGTAACAACCAGAACCTGCTCCTCTGGTCATCTCTAGTCTCTCTGCTGGCTTATTGTGTAACGGGGTTGTGGGGTACAACAAAGTTAAAACTCTAAGGCAGCTCATAATTGATGATTTTTGTAGACATTTGGGAACGTGGACAGCCGAATAATTCAACATGATGCAAGAATTCCTGTGAGAGGAAAATCTTTGGAAAGCCACGAGTCATTATTTGCACCTATCAGAGAAGTTAGATGAATTTAATGTGCATTTTTAGTATTTTCCAACATTTTTTAGTTTTGTCTGAATCAAATTAAATTAAACAAACTATTGTTCTTCTTAAAGAAGACTTGTTGTGCAGAACTCACCTTTTGCATCCTTTTGTGCTGCCAAGTCAGTCTCTACTGCCTCTGTAAAAAACCCTCTATCCATTTTTCCGTCAGTGTTTGGTTTTAGGAATTATATGCCTAAAATAAAAATTCCCCATTTGTGATGTCACAGTCAGGGAGAGTAGAATAGAACCACCTCACTGGTGCAAGAGAGAGCTGCTGCTGGAGGAGCAGCGGCTCTACTCTGAGCCCCTCCCAGATAACTGAGCTTCTCAGCTTATAGCAGCCACTCTGGGGATGAATGGGTGTGGCCAGCTCCAGCTTGTTTTTTTTTTTTGACTCATTCACTGCCAGCTGTTTCCTGATCAGAAAAGCCCTTCACTGTCAGCGTTTTTCAGCGTCTTTACTGTTTTTTTTAGAGTCGCAGAACGTTGCGCGCTAGGATGATGTCAACGCCAAAACTAACAAAACAAAGAGTAGACTCACCTCTTACATCAGGAACAATCCGCGCATTTTGAGCATTATCTGTAATTTCATAATCCGTTGTCGAATTGTGATCGGCAAAAGCCTGATTTTTCCGAGAAATACACCAACCGTGTGGAGACCATATGTTCCATCACGTTACAAACCACTGAGGAGGTCAGAGCAATAGGCCTATAAGAATCCGGGGCTCCAGGGGGCTTCCCCGGGTAAAGGAAAGGCACAATCACAGAATGTCGCCATTCTGCGGGCAACAGTCCAGACTCCCAAACTGCATTAATCAAGGATAGGGCCTCTTCAAGGAAGAGATCATGCACATGTTGGAACAGCGGATAGCCCAGACCATCCCTTCCTGGACTAGTATCGTGTCCAAAACGCACAGCAGCCATCCAATGACAAAAAAAGGTTCAAGTCCTTCGGGCCTTCCCCATCTTCCCACAAATCACCAGCAAAACCACTCAGTGACCCTTGTCTAAAAACAAGGCCATCATCCAAGATATTCGCCAAACTGTGAACCCTCTGAAACTGTGCAACCAGCACTTCAGCCTTCTCCTTATCCCTCACTGCCCCCCCCCCCCCCCCCCCCCCCATATCAAGCACAGGAAGTCCATGCCGCACCCCAGCCCCAGACATTCTGCAGACCATACCCCACAATGACCGCACAGATGTAAGGGGCCCCAGCCCACTACAGAAGTCCCGCCAACCAGCCCTCTTCGCGTCCTTCACAACCCTTCGAGCCTCTGCCCTCAACCTCTTGAACTTAACTGCGTTAGCTTCCACTGGGTGTTTCCTAAGCAACGTGTAGGCCCTATTCCTATCCTGAATAGCCAGACTACAAGCCTCTGACCACCACGGGATCATAGAATGACCAGCAGGTGCTCACTTCCTGGCAATATGGACCTCTGCCACCGACCGCACGCAAACAGAAACAGCAGTATACCAGTCATCGATGTTGTCTCCCCCTCTCAGCCGACAGTCGGCATCCTCCAAATCCCGTTCATATGAGGGCCAACATGCTCGTTTATAATTTAACCCAAGGGTAATCGAGCCAGACCCCTCCACCACACCCCTAACAAAGATGCTCAGCACAGGACAATGATCACTCCCCATAGCAAGTTGGCTGCCATCATTCAATACCACCAACCCAGACTCATCCAACATATCCTCCAACACCCTGCCATTTGCACCAGTATGACAAGCCCCCACAACTCACTATGTGCATTAAAGTCCCCCCACCCACAAAGCCGGTTCTTAGCGGTTCCCCTACTCTCCACCTGCAAAGCAGCCCCTTCACCACCACCTGACTTCCGACCCATGTCCCACCGAAAAGTTTGAACAGGAGCAGAATCGGAACACCGAGGTACTGGACCTGTACAGGCCGTCGGCCGGCACTCCAGACGCCCCTCCTGGCCAAACCAAGCCACCAAACTGAGAACCGAAATGCGAGCCAAGCATTCCTAGCGCCTTCACCGTTTTCGTGTGGACAGTTATTTTCACTTGTTGCATTAATTAAACACGGAGGTGGATACACTGCGACCTAGTGGCGAGTCACTGCACTGGGAACACAATCGCCATGCATTATGGGAAATGTAGTTTATAGTCAATGTGTGCTTTGAAGCAGCATAGACTTAATTTAAGGCACTTGAATCTCTCGCGGGCCTTGTGTCTGACACGTGTCCTAACACATGGATTTTCAGCTTCCTGATCATGTGACGTGTGACGTATGCAGATGAAGATCGGCTTTAGCGCTGCGATGTTTGTTCTCACTGTGCGGGGGCTCGTTCCGACGTCCACACAGTAAAAAAAAAAAAAAAAAAAGAGGACTTTAGTCGTCAGTGGCAGTGAATGAGTTAAGTGACAGAGCCCTGAAACAGCTCATTCTGGATGTTTGTGAACCTGTCAAAAATGAAACTACTGATATAGCTTAATGTGAGAGGGATTTACTTCATAAACATGTTTTGTATTGACCATAGAACTATCATAACTGCTAGAAATCCGTCATAATTTGTCCCCTTTAACCTAAAAGACATTTTATTTTTGGAAGGTTATCAGAACTGAACATCCGACCCTGTATCGTTCTGGCTTGTGTCATCATTATTTATAATTATCTGAAATGTTTTCAGCAGTGGGCTGCGCAGTGGCGCTGTGGTTAGAACTGTTACCTTGCAGCAAGGAGGTCCTGGGTTCGCTTCCCAGCCTGGGGTCTTTCTGCATGGAGTTAGCATGTTCTCCCTGTGCATGCGTGGGTTCTGGCTTCCTCCCACAGTCCAAAAACATGACTGTTAGGTTGACTGGTCTGTCTAAATTGTCCTGAGGTGTGTGTGTGTGTGTGTGTGTGTGTGTGTGTGTGTGTGTGTGTGTGTGTGTGTGTGTGTGTGTGTGATTGGTTGTCCTGTGTGTCTCTGTGTTGCCCTGCGATGGACTGGCTCTCTGTCCAGGGTGTACCCTGCCTAATTGCCCCCTGGGGGAGTTCAGACAATGGATGGATGGTTTTCAGCAGCCTAAAGGAGTTGATTTACCACCAGATCTGGTAAATCTAACATGGTGTGGTTTGACTCCAAAGCAGCTCGATCTGTGTGAAGCCTGACCTTCCATCCTTGTTGAATCTTGTTTCTTCACCAAGTTTCTCTCTTTCAGATGATTCCAAAACCGCAATTTATGTGTCACCTGACATGTTGTTTATTTATTTTTACTGATCCCACATCTCTGTAGTTTACAGACTGTGGTGTAAACGCACTAGGAAGTTATTAAATCCTCAAACCAATTTATTTATTTTATTTCATACTGAAGCATTCATGGCCACAAGCATGAGAATTGTTTAACACGAGCATTTTCATCCAAATCAAGTTTTATTTAGCAACCATAAAAACAACACATTTTTATCTAAATATTCGATAGCTAGTTAAGCTGATGCACGTTGGATGAAGGGGAGCTGTTTGTATAAAAAAGAAAACCCCCAGGTCTGCTTGCTTTTCTATCTGGATCTAAAATCATGAGTTCTCCATCACCTATGCTGGTAAATCAACACAGCCTTTAATGCTGCTCCTAGAGATTAAAACTGAACCGACTGGTTTGGATTTGAGAATATTTCCCTGGTATTGATGTATTAAATCACTGTGATCTGGTGATTCAAAGCATCTATAATTCACAGGAACCCAGTCAGACTCGCACGCAGCACAATGACTCAGGCTTTAATAGTCACATCTCAGCGAGGGATTGAACCCGCTTTGCATGAATAATCATAGTTCATTAACATCAGCCTGTTGTGAACATGTTGCAGATTAAATCTTACAGAAGCTGTTCAGTAGCTGGCTAAAATGAGTCACGTATGATGACGTCATCCGTTATGGAAGCATGATGTTTAAACTCAAGAATCGTTGAATAAATAATGCGATTATTTTATTTTAGTTTAATTCCATTCATGAGAGCCTCTGATTAATTCAATCGAAAATATCTTTAGGTTTCAGTTAATAAATTAGGTTTACAGATGACTGGATGTTATCCGGACCTGAGTCAGAAGTGGGTGTCTCGTCCTTACTGTGTGTGTGTGTGTGTGTGTGTGTGTGTGTGTGTGTGTGTGTGTGTGTGTGTGTGTGTGTGTGTGTGTGTGTGTACATGTTTGCTTGCATGGTAATCCATTTTAATGCTTTGATTTTATTTCCCAACTCATCCTCCTGCCTGTTACTAACAAGGAGTGTTCCTGACTCTTAGAACTGGAGCAGGTTTTCCCACATTCCTCTGTGGGAGATGTTTTCTCATTTTTAAGCAGATAATTTTATTCACGTGCATTATAATTACAGTATAATAATAATAATAATAATAATAAAATGTGTAAGCTTTTATTTCTTGTCTTGTTACATCATGAACATGAGATGTCTTTAGGGGCTTTGGAGTTTTATTCTTGAACAGCACCTAATCCAGCATCTGATATATCTCTTTGATTGTAATCAGCTGTTCCAGTGAGGCTCTTATTTCCTATCTAGAGTGGTATATTTTATTAGTTGAATGCACTGTAGTTTGATTGATTCTTGACACACTTTTGAGTTGCTTCCAGAGAAGCTTTAACCACAGATGACCAAGTCTACAGATCTTTATCTGAACTGAGAGGACATATCCCCGAATAACCCTGAAATCTTCTTACAGACAGGCTGAAAACGATAATATCCGTTCAGCCAGAATGCAGCAGCAGCAGGAGGAGGTTAAATCAACTGACACAGGTTAAATCGATACCTCATTTCTTCTAAGAGCTCAGTATTAAATCTATCATTTCATTGACGTGTCAAATTTCTGTCGTTGCCAACTACAGGGGGTGAGTTAGGAGTATGCATGAAATCATTTTTGGTAAAAAACCAAAAAGTGTCAGCAAAGAGAAGTTAAACGACCATTAGAAAAACCACAAACTAAAACAAAACAGTCAATGGTCCCTCTCTGCTGTGCTTCAGCTCTGCCTCTGTGGTTTACTCGCATCTTAACATGACTCATCTCATATTGAAGTTTATGTCAGTGTGCCTCAACTCTTTTGAAATATCAGCTGAGTTTAGCTCCAATCTCAAGCCCCTAAAGGAACCTCACATCCCCCGTCCCTGTTTGAGTTAACTGCATGCAGACTGACCTTTGCTGCTCCGTGTGTTCTGTCTTGTTGTCTGAAAGGTGCGTTCCCTTCTGGCTGCTCTAAAGAGCAGCAGCAGTGTGGCCTCACCAAACTCACCTGCTCCACCTGCTGTGTCCCGTTCACACTCCTACAGCGAGCCGCTCGCTGCTAGCTTTGAAAATCTTCACCTGCACAAAAGCCACGAATCCCACCACCATCATCACCATCATCACCACCACCCTCCACCCTCATCATCGTCTGCACGTACAGACCCACAAACCCGCCCCCAGTCCAGACTTTTACCCAATGAGAAGGCTCCTTCAGAAGAGGCTCCGCCCAGGGTAAGAAGGACAGAGCTCTTGTTTCTGCCCACACGTGAAGGATGGAGGATTACCAAGAATAAAAAAAAAAAACTACTTTTGTTCACCGAGTCACTTAATCATCAACAAGCAGGACTGCTGCCAAACCATATCATGTTACCAGATCCTGTAAATAACACCACTCCATAGTGTTTGAACCTAAACTCATCAGCTAACACGAGTTCTGTGCATGGTGGTTTTAGGCTAAGCTTTGGATGTTACAAACTACCAATGGCTGTTTCAAACTCGTGCTTTACTCACCGAGAGGAAAACTTGTCTCTAAGTGTGACTACTGGGTGTCTAGATTGGGTCTGAAAGCCTCCTACCGGTTGAAAGCAGAAATACAAATGTCGCAAACAACCCTGCAGCAGCCTGCTAGCGCTAACAGTGAGCTAATGCTAACACGAGGCAACCTGATACTAAATAAGCCACGAAGTAAAAAGATCCACACTGTTGGACTAAAGGTATTATCACCTACAAGTCAAATAACAACAAAGCCAGGTCACCATCAGCCCACAATTTAGTAGCCTACATTAGCTCCTTCAAATAGTGTAGCTCTTTTTTTCACCTGTCTTACTTTACTTCCAGGGTCTGCCATTATGCCAACAAAAAAGCTAAATCCTTCTTCTCTTGGAATTCATTGACGGTCGCCAAACAGAAAAAGCTAGCTGCTAGCCTTTACACATTGCAAATTACATAAAGCAGGCAGAAACCTCCCACTAGTGTATCTGCACGAACCACAAAACTGTTACGTGCATTTTCTGGTCAGCAGAGAGCTACAGAGTGCTGTCTAGTGTGGAGTTTCTGGCTCAAGAACCCCTGAAACCAGAGCAACAGCTAGCCTTTTTAACTTACTCGCTTCCTGCTGATTCACACTCTTCCATGCAGAGTAAGTATCTATGTGCTGGTTACTGTTTTTATCATAAAAGGTTCCCGTCAGGACTACATCAAGGTCTCCAGTGTTGACAAAGCGAGACTCACCTCATCACCATGGCAACGCCTCACACAGCAGAGATGTGGGGCACCGAAACGCTGCCAGGTAAACGGAGTAGTGGGAGTTCCCTTTTAGTTTCTCTGCTTCTGATCGACACTGTTAGCGAGCGCCTTCTCCAGTTTCACTCCTCTTAGGACTTAAATATTTTTCTCTCCAACAAAATTAAACCAATAAACACAAAATGTTTAATAAAATGCCGATATCTCTGTAGCCAGAGTATAAAAGCAGCTTTTTCTCTTTCTTTTCCATTTGGAGAATTAAAATTGGTTAAATTGGTAAAATTGGTGAGTTCTTTGATTGTGGTGTCTGTTGCCTGCAGTTCAGCAGAGCCTCGGCTCCTGTGGGAACGAGTTGAGAAACTGGTTCCCAAAACCAACAGTAATAGCAGCAGTGGAGGCTCCAGTTCCTCCAGCAGCTCCAGTAACTCCAGCTCTCAGCCCAGTTCTCACTGCGGGTCTGGAGAGCGGTTCAGGGTCCGCTGTGAGTCCACGCACACTTTGCGTTATAGATGAGCACACACACACACATTTGTATTTGTAGATGTTTTCCTCCCAGTTTAATTCTAGAGTAAACTGACATTACCACCTCCACCTTCTTCAGCTTCTTCCAAAATGGAGGGCTCGCCCCTCCAGCGACCAGAGAACGCTGGGAAAAAACCCGAGGAGAGGAAGGACTTGGTCAGGCCAAACACACCAGCGGTGAGAGTTGCCTCAAAGCTGAAAGCAGGTCCTGTAGTCCTCCGGCTGGTGTAGACATAGATCTAGATCTGCGTGGGGTTGGTGTGTGTGCAGATTTAGAGTGGCACTAAAACGACTTCCCCTCCTTTTTCTGATTTTCTGGACTGTGTCATGTGACCTGCGGTCAGACTTTGACGAACTGATGGTTCTACCTCTGAACCGAGCTTCCTGGCTGATTGATTCTCTTTGTTGTTGGTTCCTCTGGTTCTGGCTGTGCCGCTGTCATATTAACACACCTTTTCTAACACTGATGAACACATTTCTCCTCCACCTTTGCAGCTTTAACTTGTTTCATCATCTGATAATCCACTAACCTTCCCTCCAGCAGCCTGAAGAGCATCAGCTGTTTCTCTCTACACTGTTTGGCTTTGCTCCTCCCATGTTGGCTTCTGGCATACCTCTATAACCACTTCCTCCCCAGCAGCACTCTGTTTCCTGCTTTATTAAAGACAATTTATTTATTTATTTTGAAAATATAACATCTTTGCTAACAACTTGCATAAAAACACCCACAGATTAAAATCACTGGTCCAAAGCTCCAGCAGGTGGGAGAATAAGTGAATTCAGAGAGATAAAACCGAGTTTTACCTCATGATCCTCAGGACCTGACCGCTTTGGCCAAGGAGCTGCGTGCAGTAGATGACGTTCGTCCCCAGAATAAGGTGACCGATTACTCATCCACCAGTGATGACTCTGACACCACGGATGAGGATGATGATGAAGAGGTGGACCAGGAGGCGGGTGAAGAGTCGACATCTGGACCGGAGGACTCCAAAGCTGTGTATGTATCACTCACTCAAGGTGAAGCGATCCCAGCACCGACCCCTAGTTGGTCCCTGAGGATGGAAACACTTAGATCAGGAGCAGGAGGTGGCAATGCCACATTTGCACAACTCAATACAAAACACTCTTCAGCATGAATGGGTCATTTTAGCAGGAAAACTGGATTGTCTTTGTTTAGTTTTTAAGTCAAAATGGATCTCTACACTATAGAGCTGCTTCCACGCTCACTATTATCAGATGAACACCAGCTAACCATGTCCTTCTCCGTCTCTTCCCTTCTGCAGTTCTTCTAAGCTGAGTAATGGAGAGACAGAGTCGGTGAAAACCATGATCGTTCACGATGAGGGCGAGAACGACGCGGGGACAACTCCGTGCAAAGACAGCACGCTGGTTGTCAGACAGGTACTGGTCAGAAGTGAATGTAAAGGAAAACAGCTGCACACCTTTTGTTCTCCCATCAGTGTTCATTTGTTTGTTCACGTCCCAAGTGTTTGTTTATTTTTTCGTTTTGCTCTTCCTCACCATGATGGATGGATCAGCTTTTTCACAGGCTTCAATTACAAACTCACACGGGAAAATTTGGTTTAACGGTTCCAGCAAAATGTCTAACAGCATCATCTAAGCACATAGTTACAAACTAACCGGAGTTTTCTTTGCACCTGTAGAATAGCCGCTGTAGTTCACCCTTTGCTCTAGCTAACACTTTCCCTTTCCCTGAACTCATCAGGAGCACATGTAGACCCTCAGTCTACCCCTCTTTCTACTTCCAGAGTGCAGGTGACAACAGAAAGCGTGCGGCGCCCCCTCCGGGCCAAACGCAAACCCTCAGTCTGCTTGCAGGCTTTGCCCCGAGTCCTGGTTCGGTGTCTGGGCAGAGCCTCATCCACCACACCCCCAGCCCCCACCACAACCACCATCGTCATCACCACCACCATCACCCTACACAGCACCCGGACCGGAACGGCTTTGCTGGCCGCATCCATCACCTCCCAGACTTGATCCAGCAGAGCCACCATTCCTCCCCCTCCCCATCATCCTCTGCATCCAGCTCCCCTTCCTCCTCCAGCCTTGCCAGTCCCTCCACCATGTCCCCCCAGAGTCCCCTGGAAAAGCTCGGCATCCTCACAGAGGTATGTCCTCCAGCTTCAACATGACAGCTACGAAAAAAGCAGAGAACTCAAAAGTTTGTTAGCCAGCCTGACACTTTAGTGAGTAGGGCACCCTCTACTGACCATTGTTCGTATCCTCTAGAGAGATCGAGGCGTGCATCATTTACAGTGTGAATGTATCTTAGACTTATTGTAATAAGCTTATTGATCAGGTGAATTTAAAATGTATAATAAAAAGCAGGTTTTACAGGCATTACAGTAAACTTCCTGTGAATCTCATTATGAACCTTGATGTTTCCTAAAAAAAACTGATGTTCTCACATTCCCCAGACAATAGGTCATAACACACAGGGCAGTTAGGAGCAATGGCAAGTATGATTTCTGTGAGAATACTTATTTTTTAGATATATTAATACTTTTTCCTACCTGTATTGTTTATTTATTTATTTATTTTTGTTATTTTGATCAACTACATTCATGTGTTTTTTTTACCATCCCCACACTGTTTTGGCCCTTTTTTGTTATTATCTGTTTGCCCTTTGATTGGCTGTTTTTTGTGTTTGCATGAAACAGAAAAGCCACTCAGTTTGCCTGCTTTATGTTAGCCAACCGCCATCGATGCTGCGGGTGTTTTTGTGTTGTCCCGTCACCGTTCACTCTTCTTCTCTCTTCTTGCAGAGTCAGTCTAGTAACAACATGCAGAAACACAAGTCTTCTTCCTCCTTCACTCCATTCATCGACCCGCGCCTCCTCCAAGTTTCTCCATCCACCGGCAGCGCCCTCAATAATGTCGGTAGGTCTCTGCGTGGCTTAATGAGCTTTTTATAGAACACACAGAACCTTGTTGTTAAGTTTTATCAAAGCCAGGAAAAGGCTGTGAGTAAAGCTATTTAAGCATCAAACTAAAATGTTAGGGAGAGGCATAAGAATGTCTAGATTCTCTCCTGGTTTTTCCACCAAGACCCCAGATTTGATCACCAATGCAGAGCTGAAATCACTAAGGCCTGGTTCACATGGCAAGATTTAAAAATAGTCAGACATGAGAAACCCCAAAATCGTCCGTTAAAAATCAGATATACCAGTGTTGGTTCCACAGTGTGTGGCGTAAAGACAGCACATGACACATGAACCTATTTCACTCATGAACATTCCCTGGTCAGGTGGGAAATATCGCAAAACCTCTTGAGATCGAACGTGACTGTGATGTAAACAAACATGGCAGACAAGGAAGATTGACCTTGTTCTGTGTGGCGTCCTTCTGTCAGCTGACATTTCTGATTGGCTACATGTGACATTCAACAGGCTAGACGCTTCTTTATCCACTATAAATGGTCCGATATCAGGCTAAGACTGTTCAATAGATTTAGTATCCCGAACCAAGGGGTCATGATGCACCTCTGTCCAGATTATTCAACACACCATACACAGCAGGAATATCCAATAAGATTGTCTTTAGAGCCATTATTGTGATCGGACGCATCCTTGAGATTATCGGAAGGGGAGAGTCGGGGAAAAAATGGGCTCAATAATCTTTCCATGTGAACTGGACATTAGATGCTTTGTAAACAACACAAAGGCATTATTGTCCTGAGATGTCATCTCTGTTCATACAGGTGAAGCTAAAAGAGCCACCTGATTAAGATAAACTAGAGTATCTGTAATCAGAATACAATCAGAGGACCTTTTAGTAGCAAATCAGTCTCACTACTACTTTGGTTTCCTCTGAGGAGGTCAAAGTCAGGGCTTCCTCCCCCATAATCAGCATGGTCACTGCTTCAGACGCTCTAAAATCAGAAACTGGTGCTTGCTCTAAAGCAATCACATCTAGATATAATCTGTTTTTGTGGACTTTCTGCCCTGCAGAGGTAACAGACTTTGTTACGATACATTCTTATCAAAATAGCCCTTCTGTTCCTTCATCCTCATCCCTCTGTAATCAGGCCCAAACATTAAGGACTCCAGAATGCTGAACCATTACCTCGTCTGGTGCAGCTGCTGACCTCAGGACACCAGATGTTTCACTGTA